GCCACTGGCCAAAAGGATGGACCAGCACAGAAGATCAACATCATCAGACCAGGACTCTGAGGTCTACACTCATCTCCAGGTCAGAGGTCACTCTTTCAGGGATGAAGATGTTCACATCCTGGACAGAGAGGAACGATGGTTTGAGAGAGGAGTAAAGGAGGCCATCTTTGTGAAAAGAAACCGTCCACCATTAAACAGGGGCGGAGCCTCCAGGTTCAACTGTCCCCCTCTTACAATGCTGTGATTGCTAGTATCACTCAGCCCTCTGTGAACAGTAAACAGCCATCAGGTGCTAATGATACATTGTTAGGCTGATGGTCCTTCTTGAGCATGTGATCAGCTGGTTCTGGTTGTCAGCAGCAAAACTGGTTGATCCACTCTGAGAAGGTGCTATTTAAGAGACTGAGCTGAATACAGCTCCTCAGACTGAGGAAGTCCTCAGGATGAGAGACGAAACGTTTCTACATTTTTTTGTTGATTTGCTTTGTTTTGTTTTTTTGAATGTCCAGAGGACCAGATTTAACTTTTTTAGATTCCACCTTATTTCTTAAGGCTGGCCGCTCATACCATACCTTACCATTTTATTTATAGAGCACTTTAAACAGCGACAGGGCCAACCAAGTGCTGTACAGACAGAAACAAACAGGTAAAGCACACAGCAACACAAAACACAACATAAAATCAGAAGTAAGGCTGGCTGCTCATATCATCACAGTCCCTGTGTCCCACATCTTCAATCTCTCCATAAGACAAAACTCCATCCAGACTCTTGAAAACAGCCTTTGTTCTTCCTTTGCTGAAGGGAGGAGACCCCACCTCACTGAACAACTATGGACCAATCTCTAAACTCTGCATTTTAGACAAGGTTCTAGAAAAACTGATAAACTCTCAAATCAAAAATGACCTGGACTCATTTAACATCTTACCTCCACATCAATCTGGTTTCAGGAAACAACACAGCACAACCACTGCTTCACTGAAGGTTCTTAATGATGTTGTTGAAGCACTGGATGCTAAGGATTATTGTGCTGCACTTTTCTTAGACCTGTCTAAAGATTCTGACTCTGTGGATCAGAACATCTTGTGTCATAAACTCTCAGAAACTGGTTTCTCAGATCACACCATTGGTTGGTTCTCTAATTATCTCTCAGACCGGAGGCAATGTGTTCAACATAATGGTACTTCCTCCAGTTATTTAACAGTCAACAATGGTGTACCACAAGGCTCAGTCTTAGGACCCACCCTCTTTACAATCTACATAGGTAATGTAGGTAAAAACATCCCTAATGCATCCATACATTTCTATGCTGATGACACAGTTGTTTATTGTCGAGCTAAAACAGTTGATAAGGCTTTCCAGCTTTTGAAATCTGCATTTAACATCATCCAGACTGATTTGTTCCTTTTTGGACCTTCTCCTACTCCGCTCCTGTTTCCTGGAATATCTTACAAAAACATCTGAAGCTCTTGACCTTTGACCTCTCTAAGTGGCTTTAAGAATCTGTTAAGTTCCTGCAGACATGTTCCTGTTTTTAGTTTTATACATCGCCTAATAATGTAACTTTTTTTTCGTCGCTGCTTTTTCCTTTTGACTGTCCTTTTGGCTGCCATTTTATTTTAATTTGTAAAAAAAAAAAAAAAGGAAAAAAGAAGAAAAAAATTAATTTGTATGCTTCTTTTATGGTTGTCTGTTGTTGTTGTTGTCATCACTCTTTGTTAAAGCAATCTTCGCCACTTGCTCTTGCCGAACTCGGACGCTTCTCCCCTCCCTCTCCGCTTTGCTTTGTTGCTCTGTCTGTCTGTGAAACTGCTCCTGAGACTCTCTTGCATCTTCTGAACCATAATTATGGACTTTTTGATCAGTTGGTCCCTCAACACAATTTACAACATTTCTTGAAGAGAAGACAGGCTTTAGGCGAGCCGATTTGCCCTGTTGGCACACACGCAGCTGGATATCTCATTGACTTCAAGACTTGATGATGTGTCTATCTCTGCTGCCATCTGTGGATTTTAAGGACACATATTTAATTGGATTTACGATAACTGGTTCCTGCTTTTTGGATTCAGCTGCTTGCTGGTTTTATCTACAATCAAGGAAGTCGTCGGCAGCAAATTTGGACCTGATCACGCTGCTTGCCTTTATGATGGCTTGGTTCGTGTCTCGAGTACCCAGACTCAAATGCTTTGGGCAGAATGGATCAGATCTTGATGATTTTACTCAGTCACGTTCCATCGGTGTGGCCATGTAATTTGAACATTTCTGAACCGTTTGGACCAACACAGACTCAACGTAGATGTCATTAAGTTCTGCATGTCCCCTAAACAACTGTGTGTTTATCTGAATTTGGCTCCCCTGGTTGGCCTTGAAGGCCATCTTATCTGAATTGGCCTGGAGAACATGTGATCTGACGCTCTGCCCCCCCTCCCCCTACCATCGAGGAATTTCCAACTGATAACCAGAGGAAACCAGCTGAGTAAGCATTGTGTCATCATTTCAGGACTTTTGGATTCCCATAGACGTTATTCTTGGCCATTCCCCGACTTACCTCGAGAATGTTTATGGATCTCACCGGAGGACACTGCCTGATCATTCCATCCTTATCAGAACTCTTACAGTGACCTCGAGAGCGTCCATGAACATTGCTCACCACTCTCGTCATCCCCTCTGCAGAATGTCTACGTCACTGTGCTTGTTTGTGCGAGGTGTTTTTTAATATCAGTGTTTTTCTTCTCAGTCAAGAAGAAAAACTGATAGGAATTTGTTTGCCTCCAATTCCTACGTGTCCAGTTTCACTACTTTTTGTCTGTCTGAACAGATCTCACTTGTAAATGAGTCTTCTAGGGTCAATGTGACTTATCTGTCTAAACAAAGGTTGAATTAAAAAAAAGAACCAGGACTTCTGCCTCAAGGTCAGCTTCCTGTGGGTTTCTAGTGTTAAAAACAAACACAGTCAGGTTGTGTGACGTGCGCTTCGAGGCCTCTGAGAGTGGTGGTTTTGGTTTTCAGATGCGGAGTCTGCAGGGCGGACAGGAAGCCATGGCGCGCGTGGACCAGCTGGAGGCGCTGTACTACGGCTTGCAGCTGCAGCTGTATGACGTTCGGGCCGAGGTGCTGCGCTGCGAGGAGCTGCTGTTGACTGCGCAGCTGCACAGTCTGCGCAGACAGATCATAGGTGAGTTTGTGCAGCACTGGGGTTGAGTCATGAAATATGATCCAAGTGTGAAGAAAAAACAGTTTTATAATAATAAAATCATTTAGAAGAGAAGTGTTAAGCTTAGAAAATAATTTAATTCAAGGTCTGATTCTGCACGTTTTTATGAAGCTGTAAAACATTTAAAAGTCTGTATGTTACTACAAAGTAGAAGGAAAAGAAATCTGGAGGAAGTGTTTTGTTGTTTCTGAGGTTTGAGTTTAAAGTTGAAACATTGAATGTTGAGAATAATGTGTGAATATTATTTAGATAATTATTTTAAAAAGTTGAGGAAAAAGTAAAAATATGTTTTTCTAGAAAAGTAAAAAATTGTCTAAAAAATTCCATTAATGATTTTCTAAACCAGTAAACCTTTGTGTATTTTTTCCATCATTAGGCCTGAGCATCAGAGGCTTGTTAAAATAATATAGTGGAAAAAAAAAAGTCCATGCTCAATAATCCAGGTATACAATCCAACAATTTTCAGTCAGGTCATCTGGACAGTTTCTTTTTTTGCTGAAACGTTTCACCTTCCATCCAGAAGGCTTCATCAGTCAAGGAAACACACAACACAAAACTGATTCTTCCCCGAACAGTTTACTCCAAAAGTGGAACAAACCAGTTATGTTGGTGCTAAGATGGTGTCTTTGGCACGCCCCCTCCTCTGGAGCCGGCCCTCTTCCTCGTCGACAGTCATGTCAAACTGGTTCAAAACCAAAAAAGACTGTCACACCTCCACACCTTAACAGTAGGATGTTTCTTAAAGTCTTTGTTCCTCTAATTCACAGACGAGGCCCCTCTGTTCCCATCAGGTGTGAAAACCGGCTGG